GTGCGGCCGGGGGGAATGGGGGGAATGCAGGGAATCCGGGGGGCAGGATCTGGACCATACCCGGGAAGGGGGTGGATGGGGCAGCCTGACGGGGGGGGGTTGGGGGCAGCAACACGCAGGGTGCCCAAGCGCCCGGCCCCGTTTTCCCTTGAAAAGCCCATTTTTCTGCTCCAATAACTTCCCATGGGGCCGGCGCCCAGAGCCAAGCGGGGCGGGATGGGGGGGACACAACAGCTCGCTGTCCCCATGGCGGCGGGGGGGGGACACCCCACGGCCCCCCCCATCGCCCCCCCGCGGCCCGCGCAGGATCTTCGTGAACCGCAGCCTGGCGCTGGAGAAGATCAAGTGCTTCGGCTTCGACATGGACCACACGCTGGCGGGTAGGGCGGGCGCGGCACAGGGACACCAGGGGGACACCGCGGGGACCCCCCACGCTGTGTCCCCCCCCAGTGTACAAGTCCCCCGCCTACGAGGCGCTGGCCTTCGAGCTGCTGCTGCAGCACCTGGTGTCCATCGGCTACCCCAGGGACATCCTGGGCTACCGCTACGACCCGGCCTTCCCCACGCGGTGAGGGGGCCCGCGGGGGTCGGGGGGACACGGGGACGTGTGTGTGTGTGTCCCCCGCCGCCGGGCGCTGATGTCCCCCCCGCCGCAGGGGTCTCGTCTTCGACACCCTCCTGGGCAACCTGCTCAAGGTGGATTCGCACGGGAACCTGCTGGTCTGCGCCCACGGGCGCCGCTTCCTCAGGGGGTGAGGGACCCCCGGGCGCCCCGCGGCGCGGGCATGGGATGGGCGGGGGGCGGCGGGACCCCCTTCCTGGGAGCTCCCACCTTCCAGGGGCCCCCACCTTTTCCTGAGGCTCCCACCTTCCAGGGGCTCCCACATTGCCTGGGGATCCCACCTTCCTGGGGCTCCTCACCCTTCCCGGGGGCTCCCTCCCTTCCTGGGTGCCCCCCCTCTCCCCGTTCCCCCCCCGCAGCACTTTGTACCCCCGCTCGCCCCGCAGCGCCGAAATCCTCCACTATTACCCCAACAAGTTCATCCAGCGGGACGACACCAAGCGCTTCCACATCCTCAACACACTCTTCAACCTCACGGGTGAGACCTGCCCCCCAACCCGCCCCCCCACGCACCCCCCGTCCCCCCCATGCCCGTGCCACCCCCGGCGTCCCCCGTCTTCCCGGCAGAGACCTATCTCTACGCCTGCCTCGTGGACTTCTTCTCCAACTGCTCCAGATACGTCAAGTAAGGGGGGAGCGGCGTCGCGGGGATGTGCTCGGGTTTTGGGGTGAGAAAGGGCGTTTTCGGCACCAACTCGTCACCCTCCTGGGCTCTTGCAGCTGCGACACCGGCTACAAGCACGGGAACCTCTTCATGTCCTTCCGCAGCCTGTTCCAGGACGTGCGCGAGGCCATGGACCACGTGCACCTCTCGGTGGGTGCCCCGGTGAGGCCGCCCCGCCAGGGCAGGGCCACGCGCGCGGCGGTGACACCCACGGGGTTTCCTTGTGCCAGGGCTGCCTGAAGGAGAAGACCTTGGAGAACCTGGAGAAATACGTGGTGAAAGACGTGAGTGGGACGGGCGGCCGCGGCGCCGCGCGGGCCCCCAGCCCGCTGCCCTGCTGACTCGCGCCCCCCGGCAGCCCCGCGTCCCGCTGCTCCTCAGCCGCATGAAGGAGGTGGCCAAGGTCTTCCTGGCCACCAACAGCGACTACAGCTACACGGATGTGAGTAGCCCATGGCGGGGTGCAGGTGACCGTGTCCAGGTGACATCCAGGCGCTGTGACACTGGTGTCCTTGCAGGCCATCATGTCCTACCTGTTTGACTTGGGCGGCGAGGACCAGGTGAGCGCCGCTCAGGAGGTGCCGGTCGCCTCTGCTGTCCCCTCTGCACGCGGCTCTGACCGCGTCACCCCGCAGCGTCCCTGGCGCTCCTATTTCGACCTCATCGTGGTGGACACCCGCAAGCCGCTCTTCTTCGCCGAGGGCACCGTCCTGCGCCAGGTCAACACGGTGAGAGGAGCCGGGCGTGGGGACGAGTCTTGAAGCCCCACGGGGTGGCCCGAGGTGGCCTCGTCCTCGGCCGCAGCGGTGACGGGGCCTCCCGATGCAATGTCCCCTTGCAGGACACGGGGAATCTGCGCATGGGGACCTACACTGGCCCCCTCCAGCACTGCGCCGTCTACTCCGGAGGTGAGAGCGCCTGGCCGGGGGGTGACGGGGGACACACGGACACACGGTTCCCCCCCACAACGTCCTCACGGCCACCGGGCCGCCCACAGGCTCCTCGGACCTGGTGTGCGACCTGCTGGGCGTCAAGGGCAAAGACATCCTCTACATGGGCGACCACATCTTCGGCGACATCCTCAAGTCCAAGAAGCGGCAGGGCTGGCGCACCTTCCTCGTGGTGCCCGAGCTGGCCCGCGAGCTGCACGTGTGGACCGAGAAGAGCGGTGAGCGGCGCCCGGGCACCCGCGCTGGGACCCGCCGCCTACGGCCCCGTCACCGTCCAACCCGTTGCCCTTGCAGAGCTGTTCGAGGAGCTGCGGCGCTTGGACCTCCTGCTGGCCGGGCTCTACCAGTGAGTGGGCAGGAGGCACCCACGGGTGCCCGCCACGAGGCCCTGAGCCCTCACGAGGCCTCTCCCCATCCAGGGACTTGGACAGCAGCAGCAGCGAGCGCCCGGACATCAGCTCCATCAAGCAGCAGATGCAGGTGACGGCCGCGCGCCCCCGCGCCGGGCGCCCCGCGCCCGCTGCCGCTGACGCTGCGGCCCGCAGCAAGTGGCGCACGAGATGGACCTGAGCTACGGGAAGCTGGGCAGCCTGTTCCGCTGCGGCTCGCGCCAGACGCTCTTCGCCAGCCAGCTCATGCGCTACGCCGACCTCTACGCCGCCTCCGTGCTCAACTTCCTCCACTACCCCTTCAGCTACCTGTTCCGCGCGGCGCCCGCGCTGGTACGAGCCCCCGGCGCCGCGCCGCGCGCCGCGTCCCCTCTGTCCCCGCTCTGCCCACCCGGCCGCCCTTGCAGATGCCGCACGAGTCGACGGTGGGCCACGGGCGCCTGGACGCGGCGGAGGCGGCCGCCGGCCCCCCCAGCCTGCAGGTGGGTGACAGAGGGGGGACACAGGGGCCACCCTGGCACCGTGGGGGTCTCTACAAGCCCCTCCATCCTTCTCCAGGGCTCCAACGTGAAGGAGGATGAGGGCGGTGAAGCCTGAGCTGCCTCTTGCAGCTCCTGGGCGGCCCCAGCCAAGGCCGTCCCTGCGTCCCCACTGCGGAGGTGGCACCCGGAACCCGCAGCCACCGCGGGGCTCCGTGCCCAGGGGCCCCCTGTCTCGCTCACGGTGACATTGGGCCCCAGATGGCCCCTCTCCAGGTAGACACCGATGGACAGCGCAGCAATGGGGAGGCCTCGGGCACAGCTCCGGGATCCCTGTCCCCATCCCGGGCTCAGCCCCGTTTGTGTTTTTAACCCTTTTCTATTTATAAAACGATGCTCAAACTCCTGGTTATTTTTATTGGCACCACAAGTGAAAAAAAAAATAGAAAAGCCCTTGGGCCAGGCCCTGGGAGACGGGGCGAAGTGCCCTGCTGGAAGGGGGCTGCCAATCTGCGCCGGCCTCAACGGCCTCGCGCCTCCGCGTGAGCCGTCGCAGACCTCGGGATTCTCGGGATGCCGAGAGCTCCGCGGAAGGAGCGTGTCCCGAGTGCGACGCAGCCGGCGCTGCCGCAGGTGCCCGGGAGCGCCCGGTGCACGGGTGGCCACGAGGCTAAACGTGCTACGCGACACGTCACGCTGCATCTCCGCTGCAAGTTTACATAAATATACATATATATATAAAAAGAGCAGAAAGGGTTAATTACATGTCACCCACCGTGCATTTACACCTGTCTGAGGGGCAACGAGAGAAGTGAGAGAAATAAGTGTGAGGCTACAGGCACTATGGGAGAGCCAACAGGCTGCCAGGCCCAGCAACACTCGGAGGGCTACAAAGCCAAAATCTCCGTCTCCGTCACCTCCGGCAAGGCCTCGTTTTTCCGAAAAAAGAGCTCGCTCTCCTCTTCGCCATCGAGGATTTCCTCGAGGGACGACACCACGGTGTCGTGGTCCTTCAGCATGGGTGGGTAGCGGCTCCCGGCCCACTCTACGCGCTGCGAGCGCCGCACGGGCGTCAAGAACTTCAGCTCTTGCCCTTGTGGCCACTCCTTGGGCCTGCGGGAAGAGGACGGGACGTGAGGTGACGGTGACAGCGGGGACAGGCAGGGGAGCGGGGCAGGGACCTTACCTGGGAATGGAGAGAATCTGTAACTTGATTGCGGAGCCGGGCAGGCTGGGTGGGTGCTTTCCTGTCAGGCTGGGAGTCTCTGCCGCGTGCGGCCCCTCGCCCGGACACGGTGTCGCGGCCTCACAAACAACAGGCGCCTCAGACTGTTCCCCTGGCGGGAGAGAGGAAAAGGGCAGGGTTGTAGAGCAGGAAGAAAGCTGCAGTTTTGGGGTGTCACCCCGGCACAGTGCTCCGGGCACCGGGAATGGCTTCGTGGTTTGGACATGTTACCGGAGCAGCGCCGTGGAGGAATCTTGCCCCCCTTTCCAGGATGAGGATAGTGGGGTCTGTCAAAGCCAACCGCGCCGGCCAGCCCCAACCCAAGGGGCGCCCGTTACCTTCCTGTGGCCTCTCCGTGCTCTTTAGAATATGGAGGATGAAGTCCCTGAGCTCCTGCAGCGGCTGCAAGGAAAACAAGGGCAAGTCAAGGCTGGTCTGGCTCAGGAACGACGGCCGCACTCCAGGCCACAAGAGTGGGACGACTTTTGGGCTGCACCCATGTTAGGGAGAACAGGCTGCAAAATTTCCATCAATCGTGCTGGTTCTGAGCTGCAGTTGGGAGAAAACCACCCGTTTTCCCCTCCCTCCCGCAGCAGGTGCCCAGCATTACCCCAGGATTAAAGCCCAGGTGTTTTGTTTTTCTGGGAGTGAAGGGCTGCAGCTCAAGAGGGTTGTTTCCCCACCAACCAGTGCTGCTGCTTCCCAACCCTGCCCCTGCCCCTCCGGGGCAGCCGCTCGGCCAAGGGGAGGGCTCCCTCCTCACCACGGCCCCGGCGCACACCGCGTCCCGGTACAAGCCCGTGGCGTCAAAGGGGCCCGCGCGGGCCAGCAGCTTCGCTTTGCAGATCCAGAACTTGGCGAACGTCTCGGCGTGGGGGACGCGGGCCAGCATCTCCAGGAGCTCCTCGGAAGGGACACCCTGCAACGACAAGCGGAGAGAGGGCTCAGGTGGAGGATCCAGAGGTGTGTGTGGGGTAACTGCTTTCCTAGTGCCCTCTGGGGAGGGAGAGGGCCTGGGCAGCCTGGGCTTTGCGCTTGATTTTTTGCTGGTCTCCTGTGTGGCCTTGGGCAAACACTAAAGCTCCCACCCTGTGGTGCTGAGGGGGTCGCAGTCCCCATCTCTGAGAGCTGGGGAGCCTCATAAAGCAGTTTCCTCCCCATCCCCACCTCCTCAATGAGCTTCAGGTAGTCGGTTAAGATGCTATTGATCCTGTCCGAGCAGGACTGCTCTGGTCTCTCCTTTTTTTCCTCCTTGACGCTGCTCCTGGAGATCAGCTTGTCTTTCACTGGCTTTTTCGGAGGCAGCGTCATAGGGGGCCGCTTGTATGACTTCCCTTTGGACGCCAACCACTCCTGCAGCTGCTTCCTGGTAAAGGATGAAGGGATCACAGTTACCACCACCCAAGATGAGCCGCTCTCGCGTGCCCTGTGTTTAAACCACCCGCTGCCCTCCCTTTGGAGCCCGTGCCAGGGGAGGGAGATGGGCACGGATGGACACAGATTGGGCCAAAGGTGCCGCTTACTTCCGATCCTCTGGCGTCGGGGTCTTGGGCACGCGCTTCGCCTGCACGCTGGCCGGTGCCAGCACGGGGCCTTGAAGCCTTTCTTTCCTAGTCTTAACATCCCTCTCAAGCGGCCGAGTTTTGGAGCCGAGGGCGCTGCGAGCGGTGGCTGCGGGTCCCATCGCTCGGGCTGTCACTGCGTGTCCCCGAGGCGCTGTCTTTGTGTCCTTCCCACCTGGCTCCCCTCTGGCCGCGGGCCGCTGCCCGGCGCCAGCCAGCCTGGGGCTGCATCTCTTTGTGCACCCCAGTTTCGCGGCCCCTTGGAGCCTGCTGGAGGCCGGAGGTCTTGCAGGAGATCGTTTCAGCTGGGGAGCTCCACTATGGTGCTTAAAATTCCCTGCTGGAAGCGTGCCAGCTGCTTTTCCTAGGGGCAGCCTTGCTGTGTTAACGCTCTCGGGTTTTGCTCCTGTTTTTTTATGTAGCCAAGCCCTAGAGAGGGTTTGGAACGGAGCGGGTTGCGACGCCCGCGTTTTGCTGCTCTGTTTTTGAGATGCCTCCTTTGTGCCTGGCAGCGATTTCCCAAGCTGGTGCTGAATCAGCCCCTCCCTCTTCTGGTGACTGTTAGCTCTGTCTTTTGGGCCCTGGCTGGCTCTGGGTGCTGTGGTGGAGGTTGGTCCGTGAGCCACCGCTCTCCTGTGACCGTTTCCATCAGGCTCGAATGTGCCGCTCGATGCGGGCTCCGACGGGGCTTCTCCTGGGATGTTCTCCTTGTTGCAGAGCAGCCTTTCCTGCAGGCCCTCGCTCAGGGAGCGAGGTGCCCCGGGCAGGGGGACAGCAGCGCCAGCCTCCTTGGCCGCTTCCTCGGTCCTTCCTGCGCTCAGCTGAGGAGAGGTGGATGCTGGCAGCTTCCCTCTGGGCCGCGCGGAGGGGTTTGTGCTGGATGGCTGGGTGCTCTTCCGAAGCTGCCCTGAAGGTGCCGCCGCTCTCTGGGGTGGCTTTGAGGGCCTCTGCTGCGGGCCGAGGCCAGCGCGCTGGGTGCTTCGGACACCAGGCCTGTCATCCCTGCGTGCACCCTTGGCCACGCTTGCGACAACGTCCTCCTTGCTCCTGGCCACCTGGAGACAGGGCGAAATTCAGCTACAAAAACAGCCCAACGGGGAAGAGACCCCACCTCAGAAGCACTGGGACAGTTCATCCCCGTCCCAGCGGAGGGGAAACAGAGGCCTGTGAGTGTCACAGCAGTTACCAATATAACAATGGCATGACACCCCACCCGTGTTCATGCGGTACAGAGAAGTCTCTCGGACTAAATTCCTCTAAAAAACAATTTGTTGTCTTACTGCATAGCTACTCAGCAACATGTTGGCAGTTTATGGACCCTGTTCTGCACGGACTTGCCTCAAGCATGAGATAGAAAACCAGCTTCAAAAGATTTTACTCTGCTACTCACGTGCTCTGGTTTAGCAAGTGGTTTCAGGAGTGGATTGGGGTGATTAGTCCGGTCCTTTAAATAGGGTCTGTGGAAAGTCAAACAAAATATCAGGGTATTTAACAGGTGCTACAGAAAAGGTTAAGTATCTAAAGCAGTTCAGGCTGTTTCAGCCAGAGCTTACAAGAAGCTTTTCCTGAAACCAGGAAGGTGTCAAGGAAGTGTGGTGTAACATGAATTATTTTTCTTTTGTGCAGCAACAGCAAAGCGGCACAAAAGGTTGACATCCAATGTCGTCACGTAAGTCATGGCTTCCGCTGGCAGCAGAAGTAATAAAAATGGTTTGTGTAGCACAAGGGGCTGCACAGAGATTAACCAAGATTAATTTCTCTGCAGATATTTTCCTGTAATGAAAGAGCCTGGAGAGTTAGGGTATTCCCCTCCATCCTTGCCCTATTCGGAAGGCAAATATTGGCAACCCAGCAAGAATGAGCTTTATATCCTCCAAACTTACTTTGTACCCGAGCATTTTAGCTTTCCTTTGGCTGCCAGGTACTCCTGCAGTCGTCGCCTTCGCTCTTCTGCAAGGAGATTACAGGTAAATGTAAGAACTGATAAGAACAGGTTTCTCTTGCGTTGACAGCACTGAGCTTATCCCCTAACTCCACATCTTTGGCCCCGCGGCCGCCCCCCCGCTGTGTGGGGCTCCCCCCCATGTCAGTTCCCCACTGACAGCTAAAAGGCCCCCACACTGCGCCCGCCCCCCCGCCATTTCCACCGTCCCCCCGATCCAACCCCCCCTTCCCGGCACCCCCAGCCCCAAATAACCCGGATCCCCTTTAGCCTCCCCCCTCCCGGTGTCCCCCCCCGGCCCCTCACCCTGCGCCGCGGCGCCCCCTGCCCGCTCCATGCCGGGCTCTCGCCTCAGCCCGCCCAACCGTCGCGCCGCCGGCGGCAACCGCCGCGCCGCGCTCATTGGCCGCCGCTTTCTTCAAACCGGCCAATGGGAAGCGCGGAGGCGGTGGCGCCCGGTAGGTGGGCGGGTAAAAAGGGTTGCGATTGGTTTAGAGTTGGCTGGAGGGGCGGGGACAACATTGAGGGCGTGGTTTAGGTGAAGAGGCGTGGCCTGGGTAGGGCGTGTCTTATGGGGGCGTGGCCAATCATTTAAAGGGGAAGCGAGCGGAGTGGGGGGTCTCCCTGGCAGATTGGTTCAGATCCGTTAGATTCGGCAAATAAATGAAACCTAATTACTGAATTCCCACTAATTAGTGCCCAGCGGTTTGCAGGCACACGTGGCAGCTGGTTGGGCCAGGGCGGTGGGATGGCGGCACTGGGTGGAGGTGGGAACCCAAAAGGGCGCCAGCGGAGCCTGCTCGAGGGTGAGGCCGAGGGGAGCCGCGTGTCCCAACGAAATCCGTGATTTTTTGGGCTGAAGTGCCGCAGTGACACACGGCAGTGACGAAACGGGGGAGTTTTGGGTCTGATGCCGCACGGAGAGGAAGCGGCTCCCGCGGCCTCCTGCGCTTCCCCTTCCCGCTCATCCCCGCAGCTGCTGGACGTCACCGGTGTCACCCGGGGACAGCGGCAGGGAGCTGGGCCGGGCGTCTGGGCATGAGGATGTGCCGTGTTGTCCCCAGGGGCTGGTGACAGGGTAGGGGTGGTGCTGGGGGGGCTCTGAAGCCGACCACCCACCAGGAACGGGGGGTACATCCTTGGGATGGTGGGGGATCCATGGGGTCCACCCGGAGCGTGGGGGTGCCCGGGGACAAGTGCCCTTGAGGATATGGGTGGCTTCCAGGGTGGCTTTAAGGCTGTCACAAGACATGGTCCAGAGTCACCTGTGGGCTCAGAGAGGTCCCTGGGGCTCTGGGGGGTGGTCTTGGAGATCTAGGTGGTCCCTGGAGCTCTGGGATGGTCCCCAAGCTCTGGGGTGGTCCCAGAGCTCTGGGTGCTCTTCGTGCTCTATGTGATTCCCCCTGCCCCCGGGGGTCGCTGGGCTGGGGGACAGTCCCATGACTCTGCTGGGGTGCCCCCCCAGCTCTGAGTTTGTACCTGGAGGAAGGCTGGGGAAGACAACCAAAAACCCACCGCAGAACCAGAAAGTCCCCAGGAGCAGCCGAAACCAGTGGGAATTTCCTGCTGCTGACACCGAGCTTGGTCTGGGGCCAGGAGGACCCACTCCCAGCCCCAGGTGGTTTTATCCCGCGCCTCCCCACGAGACAGCGACGAGACAAGAAATGCAGTCATGGGCAAGGCTTTATTTCAACAGTTTTCAGTCACCAATAAATACATACACTCCTGAGACAGGTCGTTAATAAAAAAACACAATAGTCACCTTAAAAAGCCATGCTAAGTTAAAGGCAATAGACCGACACAATAAATAAGTATAAATCAATGGCGACTCGGGCCCACAGGGCCCAGAGCTGCTATTTCACATGAAATAAATCTTCCGTGGGGCAGGGAAGGCAGCAGCTCCCGGCCGCGCGGGGCAAACTGGCTTGTACTCGGTACATACGGCTTGAAAACCAGCGACTGCTGGTTTGGTTTGGTTTGGTGCAGGGGCAGCTCCCTAGCTCAGCCGGTACGTGGTGATGTTCACCTCGCCCAGCTTGTTGGTGATGCCCACGGGCTGCTTGGAGTGCGGCGAGGTGCAGATGTACCAGCCGGGGAAGGCGACCGACTCGAAGCTCGTGGTGCGCTCGCCCGGGCTGTCCAGGCGGTAGAAGATGAAGCGGGTCAGCTCGGCGCTGTCGATGTCCCTGGTGATGTCGGCCTCCTGTGCGGGCACCGGGTTAGGGCAGGGCCCCGAGCGGCGGCGCGGGGGGACGGGAGGGACGCGAGCGCACTGGCCGCCGCGGCGCAGGGGGTCCCGCTCACCTCCAGCTGCAGCGTGGGCTCCGCGCCGCTCATCACGCACGACATGTAGAGCTTGTAGCCCTTGATGCCCAGCGCCACGGGCATCCGCAGGGCGCCGGTGTCGCCCGGCGAGCTCTTGGGCCGGTACAGCGCGATGTTGAGCTTCACTGCGGGGAGGAGAAGGGGGCTCAGACGGCGGCTGCGGGGGCGACGGAGCGGGGGGCACAAGGACGGGGGGGTCACTCACCTTTGCGGCTGATGGAGGGGCCTTGCAGGTGCAAGGCCACGAGCTGGGTGGGCGACTCCAGCACGAAGCACCTGTGCTTGATGTCGAGGATGTCGAAGGACTGCGAGCGGGTGTAGCGGTACACGGGGGCCCCCGCGTAGCTGCTCTCCAGCCGCTGGAAGGGGACGGGCTCTGCGGGGCAACGGGGCGTCAGGAGCAGCGTCACGGCGGGGACACGTCCCCCTCCGACAGCTCTTCCCGCCGGCACTTCCCCCTCGGCCGCGACTCCTACCGAAAACGGCGTCCAGGAAGCTGCCGAGGTCGCTGTCGGCGAAGTCGCGGGGCGAGAGCGTCTTGAGGAGCTTGGTGGCCGCCACCACGAGGGTGGCCGCCTGGCGGAACCTCCTGGCCGGGGGTCCCTCGGTGAGGGTCACCTGGATGCCCACGTCGGGGGCGCTCTGGCCGCGGGGCAGCAGCTCCGAGCTGAGACGGCGCTTCTGGAAGGAGAAGGGGGAGCCGCGTTGGGAGCCGGTCCCGGCGGCCCCGCGGGGCTCCCGCCTGCCCACGTCCCCAGCGTTACCTTCTGCATGCACGGCGAGTCCAGGCCGTAAAAGGTCTCCTCGTTCAGGCTGCGAAAGTGAAGGGAGGGCGTGAAGGCGACGGGCAGCACGGCTCCGTCCCCGCCAGCGCTGCGCGGGGCTCTGCTTACCTGCTGCTCTCCAGCATGTCCAAATCCGGAACGAACGCCATGTGCGCGGAACCGGCGGGGACAGCAAGCGGTAGCTTGGAGCCGGGCGATGCGGGCGATGCGAGTGATGCGGGCGATGCGGTCGATGCGGGCGATGCGGGCGGCGCTCGCCCCGGTGCAGCGGGTTCCCGTGCGAGCCGCGCGGCGCGCTGGTGCCGGGGCCGCGTGCCGGGCGCGTTTTGAAGCGGCGCGGCGCGGAAGCGGCGCCAGGGCGGGATTTCCACCTTTCGCAACGCATGGGGTTTGCCCAGTTCCTCTCCCACCCCGCGGCTCCTGGGAGTGCCGGGGAGCCGGCGCCCGGGGCCCTTCCCGCCTCCCGTTCCGCTCGGATGGAGCGGCGGGGCGGACGCTGCTCCCCAGCGGCGCCCGGCTCCCGTGGGAATGGCGGAGGCGCCGCTCCGGTGGGAATGGCGGAGGCGCCGCGCCGTGGGGCCGGCGATGGCGCCGCGCGGGGCCCGGGCTGACGCGGCGGTGACTGTCCCGCGGTGACGCCCTGGCCCTCGTCAGGGCTCGGGGAAACGCCGCCGCGCAGCGATTTCTCCACAGGGCTCCGTGCCAGCAGCTTCCTCTTCCCCGGAGCCATTTGGGGCCGTGTCCGGCCCTCGCTCTTGCCCAAGTTTCCGCCGGGATGTGCAAGAGCTCGCGCGGGACGGCCGCGTGGGAAGGCGGCGGCGCGGCCCTTGGCGCAATGTTCCCCGAAGCCGCCGCGGAGCCGCACGGCATTTCCGTGCCGGGGAAGGCCGTGGGTGTGTCCCATGCGGGAGAGGGGACGGTGCCACGCAGGGCGCCCATCTTCCCTGCAGGGAAGCTTGTGCCTCCTGTTGCCCCTAGGGACGCTGGCCGTGGGGACAGCCTTGTGGGACACTGCCCGTGGGAATGTGGCCATTGCGGAGCGTCTTTGGGGATGCCGCCGTGGGCGGTGCTGCCTTTGAAGACTGTCTTTTGGGATGCTGCCATTGGGGACAGTCCTTGGGGACATCACCCCGGGAGATGATGCCGCTGGGGACCATCTTTTGGGACGCTGACCTTGGGAACGCGGCCATCGGGGACTGTCCTTGGGGATGCCACCCTGGGAGATGCTGCCTTTGGGGACAATCTTTTAGGATGCTGCCTTTCGGCACCGCTCTTGGGGACCATCTTTTGGGACGCTCTCCTTAGGAATGTTGCCATTGGGGACCGTCCTTGCGGATGCCGCCTTTGTGGACACTGCCCTTGGGGACAATCCCTGGGGATGCCGTCACTGGGGCCACCACATCTGGGGACGATCCCTGGGCTCTTGGTGCCGGGGCGGGGGTGGACCCCCCCCCCCGCACCCCGCCAGGGCAGCGCCATGTTGCCCGGGGAGGTAACCATGGAGACAGCCCCCCGCCCCGCTCAAGCCCCGCCCTTAGCGCCGGCCCCGCCCCACGCGTGGTGTTAGCCCCGCCCCCGGCGGCGGGAAAGGCTGGCGAGGGCGCGCGCATGCGCGGCGTTCGCGGGTGGGCGTGCCCGGGGGCGGGGCGTCGCGGTGACGTAGCGGGCGGGGCGGCGGTCGGCGGCCGCTGTCAGAGTCGGAGCGGCGAGCGGGGCGGACGGAGGCGCCGGTAGGTGCCGGGCCGGGCGGGGGGCGGCTGCAGCTGAGCCGGGACGAGGCGAGGAGGGCGGCGGCGGCGGGGAGGCCGCGGCGGCCGGGCCCGGCCGCGACCACGCGCCGCTCCCCGGTGTCCTTGGCGCCACCGCCCGGGCGCCTCGGGGAGGGGAGGGAGGCGGGGCTTGCCTTCAGACGGACAGCGCCCTCGGCCAATGGGGCGGCGACCCTGTTCTTACCGCCGCTCTCATTGGCGGCGGCGGCGGGTGCTCATTGGCCAAGGGGCGGGCCCAGTGCGCTCGCGCGCGCGTGGGGGGCAGGGGGCGCGCGCGCCCCTTCTCTCCC